AATTTATTTATTGGTTTCGTTTCCGACTGCGCCAGTGCAAAGTACTTAGGTTTTATAATTTATATATTTATTAATTTAGATATATTTAATAATATAACGAAAGCCAACTGCGAAGTGAAGTTTTTATTCTCAAGTTTTACATATATTTATAAACTATAAAACCACATTCCTTAATATATAAATAAGGTATTTTACACTTAGAAACTAACAATTTGATTTCATCATTTATTCTACCATAAGTAATATTCAAATATATTACAAAAACTACTAAAGTAATTGTTAAAAACACCACATGATCTGAAGGGACTGCAACTTTTTCTAGGAGATCAGGTACCACCATGGATCCTAAAGGTATTTTTTCGCCTGCATCCCGATCTGATTTTTTAGCGCCGCAGTAGGTTTCAAATGAGTAGCAGTATCCTGTAGAGCTAGTCAACAACTAGTTTATGAATTGTTTTGACGGATGATGACCAAAATACCTGACCATTGCTTCGTGTATTGAAAGCTCTGTGTGAAATACTCCCCACAGCATAAAGCTTTGATTAAAAAAAATCATCAAGGGACGCAGTTTTGCCATTTTGTCTTCCTTATCCAAACAGCTGTTGTCGGTCAGGTGAAGGTATTTTTTATTTCCTGAAATCTATTGCGAGACATACAGTTGCTAATAAATGGAAGACTAGCGTCTTCATCAAGACTCCAATAAAGACGTTCTCGAGGTAGTTTGTGAAATCCTGTAAATAACAGGATTGCAATGAACAATTTCATGTCAGCTCTCGAGACAAAAAATGAGTGATTGTTCTTTTGAGATGAATAACGGTTTGTCTCATACACAATGTGGTCTATAATTTCGTCGTCGAACAACTTTTCAAACACTTGTATTGGATTACAGTTTTCTAATCAGCGGCTCCAGAAGTTGATGGTAACGATATGTCGATTATTTCCTGAGTCCATTTACATTCGTCTGGCTTTATCTTCTTTCGCAACGGCTCGCCATTTTTCTTCTTAATGCCAAAAGATATTGAAGAAACACGTTTATTATCTAATGTTAGGATCCATGTTGAACGGGTAATAAGTCAGTTACGGCAAAAATATGGTATATTAGAAAAGAGTGTGCCTATAACTATGTTAAAAAAAAGATAATAAAGCATCTATGATTAATAAGATTGTTTCAGTATGTTGTGCTTTAGTAAATATATATCCTTCAGTTATTCAGATGTTAATTCTTAATTTGAAATTTAAATATTTGTAACATTATTATTTTTAAAAGTAAAAAAAAAATAAAAAATAAAAATTAAATAAAGCAGTTTTAAGTTATTACCTAGTTTCTTTTATTGTAATTTGCTGACAAACACTTTTTACAGTGTCAAGGTTCTTTTGGCACTGCCTTTAATTTAATACAGCTTAAGTGGAACCACTTAATGTCACAAAAATAGTTGTTGCACATCACCATCTTCTGTCCACTTTCTGGCATTTTACATGTGCACCAAAGGGCTTCTTTATGAACCATTGTAGATTCTTCATCAATTATGAAGACTTAACACGTTTCCATGAAGATTGTATGGCAGCCGATACAATTGAGGTTTGTGTTTGAGGAGAAGTATTGGTTTTTTTGGTAAAACACTTTCCCAGGAGTTCAGGCATCACAATCTGCTCATGAAACAGCATTGCTTCTTGGCTTTTCTTTGTCCAAAACTCGTGGTTAAATTTACTTTTTTCATAAAAAATGTCTTGTTTAGTCCATGCTACAAAATAACAGTATTTGGTATTTGTAACTGCCATTTGAATATGCAGTTGATAGTAGTAGGTATGATTATTATCTATGTGAAAAGGGGTATTGACTTCTAAATTTTCTGCCTACACCGATGGTTTGAGGAAAGATTTTTAAAATTGGCAATTTCTTCTATGGACGGATCTTTCACACAATATGGGCACTTTACCTCAATACACCCCTTTTCACCACAGTCATAAGATACCATACTGTCAGGCGTTGCATCAAAAAAGGAATTTTTGGAATCAATAATTAGCCCAACAGGACTCAGAGTCATGACCCCGTTGAGGCCAGCAGCACAATCACAATGTGCGGATAAGATTTAGCCACTTTTATGGGTAACTATCCATGGTAACTATCCATAAATTCAATGGTGGTAAGTTGAGTCGCTGTGGGTGCATTGCCTACAACAAAAAAGAAATTTAAATAGGGCCCTTCAGAATAGTCACGTTCCTGTTGTGATTGGTCGTGTTTATGCGTCGTTTTAACTGGACAGATGGACCGCGCTTTTTTTAAGTAAAAGAGACTTAATTTAAAGATAGTTAAAGATAGGTTAAAGGTTAAAGATAGGTAATTAATCTGTGTCTGTTAGATTAGAAATAAAATGCTGATATACCATGATGCTTAGTAAAATAAATACAATTATTATTATACTCATCACAAACATTATTTATTAGATATTTTATTGCAATACATAAAGTTACTCAACTATAATAGTAATAATAATAATAAAACAATCAACCTTGTACAAAAAAAACGGTAAATAATGTTTTACATTTCTTAGATATAGTTATGATCATAGAGAAAGGTAATAAAAAGAGAGAAGCAGATTGCGTAGTAAAAATTGGAATCGCATTCACTAGCGCTGCTGTGACAACAGGACAAACTAATTTAAAAAAATTTGGCGAATGCGCCGGGGAATTTAAATCCGCTTGCTTTACTTTGAATTTATTTGAAACTTTTATTGAAGCTTTTAACTAATACATCGACGAAAGTTGAATTTGTTATTATTTAAGTGGGTATAATTAAATATTTTAAAACAAATTATGATATTATTAAACAGACAACTAAAATTTTTAAATGGTTAATTGGCAAATTCAACTTTCGAAGATAAATTAGTTAAAATGCTTCAACATAAGTTTCAAATGAACATTTGATAGATATCAAACGAAAATTAAAGGGAAAACTAATAACAATGCCATATTATCTTTTAATCGCAGTTTATTTAATCACAGTTTTGTAAAAAATGTTAAATTTAATCATAAATATAAATAATTTTGTATCAAAAATAAAATTAAAAGTATTAAAAATAAAACATTAATATTAATAACTTAACCTCACATTTAATTTACCTTTCTTTTCGGTTAATCCTCTGCCTATTTCGGTTAATTCTATGCGTAGTAATAATAAAATTTTAATTACACCAATATACAATAATTATAACTGTTTATAATCTTCGTTGTTATAACAAATACCAAATAAAATCCTAGAAACTCAAAACAATTTTTCTGTCCACGCGCCAATTTCCAATAAAGTTATGATAGAGACAATACACAGCGTCCACACCGATCACGGCTTGTGCAGTTGCGTTAGAGGAAGATGGAAGCAAAATCGTCAGTCGTAGCTTAATTTGGACAAATTTAGGAGATCTGAGTTGCGCGGCAGGAAAACAAAATGCGATGCCATTCGTCCTAATTTAATCTGCCACTCTCTTTTTATTACCTTTCTCTATGGTTATGATCTAAAGAGGAATTAGAGGAAACATATGTTTGGTTAAAATTACTTTTTAAATCTGCACCTATCACTACAGTTTCTAAAACGGATGGCTTTGTACATTGATTTTTATTAGTTTTCCTTTTTTTCTCAGTTGAAAAAATCTATTCTGCTTTTGAATGTTTTTATTTGCAGGTTCATTATTAGAGTTAACTGGAACAAATGAATTAGTAGTTAAACTGTTAGGTCACTCAACTAATTTGTCAAATGTGTCTAAATGACGTTGAATTTGTAGAATTGCATCATCATTTAAAGTATTTGGATCAGTATTTTGCAACTTATTCATTGTAGATAATACTCGAGCAGAAAAATTCCCTTTCAAAACTTTAAAATTACCAACATTCCTTTCCAATAAGTTACTGTCTCTTCTATTTTCTTCACATACTATTTGCTCTGATTCTGTCAATTTAGTTTCTTTATTGTATAACATAGCGACAAAATGAATGTGTTTGCATATAAAGTTTCGAATGGAAGAATTACTGCAAGAACAAGAATATGTGTGGTAACATATTTTACAACTGTTACACATTAAAACACAGCTTCGACTTTGAATTCTTTTTACACAATACATATTTTTAATTTCCTTATTAAGAGATAGAGTGCTAATTAAATATTTGTTATCCTCTTTATCAAAGTCAATGTCAAATTTACTGATTAGAGCAGCTCTATGTCTTGTCAAAATATTTTTTGTGTGAATGGTGTGCTTACCTTTAATATTTGTTACAAGTCTATCAACGGCCTTATCTCTAAAGCCGCGTATCGATTTTGCGTGGTAGCCTCGCGAGGCTGCCTCAACAGGTAAATTTTTGAGCCGGTATGAAAGCCAAGCACGCGAAGCAGAGCGAGTCGTCAATCAGTGCGAGGCGCTCCACCATGGCACCGGTTTTTTTCACGTTCAGCTGTTGCGGCATTTTCTTTTATTGTGATCCATCGAATTTTAGCAGATAGGACGAAACGACGAAGAAAGCCGCGGTGGCGGATGAAAGAATTATTCAAAAAGCGACTACAGTATGGGAATAGACTTACAAGATATGGCATTTGAAGCAGTTGAAGATACCGTCAAAAATTTTATGCCGACTTCGAATACTTGTTGCATTAATTAGTCCTAAAGTACATACTACGCTAAAATAGCTTTTGTAATTGTAGTAATCAGTGCTGCTATTCCAAGGTGCTTGCAACATTACAGTACAGTTACACATTTGAGACAAGCGATTACTGTTAAGGAAAGATTAACCCTTACATTAAGATTTTTCACTACAGGAGATTCCATTACAAGTTTACAATATCTTTTCCGTGTGTCAAAGCAGTCTATATCGACTATTGTGCCAGATGTTTGTAATGCAATAATAGAGAGTCTTGTAGAATATGTAAAGGTAAGTCAAAACAAATAGATGAATAAAGTTCCTTTATTATTTATTTCGTTATATAAGCGTAAAAGATCACCAATATCGGAGGTTTCTCCACACTGCCCAGCTAACAAAGTTGTTCTATAAATTTAAGCTAATAGAACATTTATATCCTATTAAAGTTTTATAGATATATCTAGGACACTAAATTACTGTATTAATGGAGCATATGAGACTATTTTGTTTTCAAGAACTGAATTGTTCTTTAAACTCATTGCAAGAACGTTCTTAGGGCATATATTATAGAACAGTTATAAGACCAGTGTAAAATTTGCTCTATAAGGATGCTCTGTGACATAATTTTACAGCAACGTGCTTATAGAATCAAATTATTGTAAAGCCGATGCAAAATAGAGCTCAAAAGGACAAAACCACACCCTGTACAACTCTTATACAATTATCCCATAATGTCGCCTGTACAGTCTTAATAGAACTATTGTATAAGAGTTTGGTATGTGACGATTATGCTACGAATACCAAATAGCAAATATGGAAGCTGCTATCGAACTTAAAAGGGAGCAGCTCTATAAGGTTATTTTATAGAATAATAATGTAGTTCTTATACAATAATTATAAAGCAAATTTTTGTTTTTTCCATCTTTTTTGTTCCTTATAAAAACGCTACAGAATTAGGTACAATATCTCAATTATTATTGACTCCATTTTGTTTTAAGTGTACAGGTTTTGGGCAACGTCCGAGAGAACGTCTTGTTTAAAGTAGTAATAATGTCTTTTAGTGGTAAATGGAAGAAAGTAAAAAAAAGTGGGGCATTTCGGAGGCAAACGAAAAAAATTTATGAAAGTTTATTAAGCAATAGTGTTCATTTAAATCACTCTACCACTGCTACAAGTGATTTCCAAGAGGTTAAAGTGCCTGATAAAACAGTATTACAAGAAGACAGTGCCACAGTGAGCGAGGAAGAACAAAATACCATAAATTTCGACACAGAAAGGCAAAAAGATGGAGAAGAAATTATAAAAAGAAACGATTGGCTAATAGAGCTTCAAAATTTTGAAGAAGATGATTCAGTAATATCAGAATTAGAACAAAACGCCGAGTTTGCAAGAGATCTCCGGATGTGGGCGGTCAAATTTAATATCTCACATTCGGCGTTGAGGGATTTGTTTAAAGGAATTAACAAGCGTTTACCGGGTATTCTTCCTGCAGATCCAAGAACGTTTTTGGAGACTTGCCAAACTGTCATTATGACTAAGGTTGGAAGCGGCGATTACTGGCACCATGGTTTTGAGGCCTGTTTGAGGGAAGCTTTAACACCAATGCAAAACTTGCCAAAAATCATAAGTGTGAACATAAATGTGGATGGATTGCCTATTTACAAAAGTAGTAAAATTGAATTTTGGCCCATAGTTTTTAACATTTATGAGTTACCTCAAGTAAAACCTATGATCATCGGCATATATTGCGGTTCAGGAAAACCGTCCAGTTTAACGGCATTTTTACAACCATTTGTTACTGAAGCTCAAACAATCTTTTCGGAAGGACTCCTAATGAATGGAGTTCGAATTGATATCCAGCTGAGATGTTTTATATGCGACTCACCAGCCAGGGCGTTCATTAAAGGTAAGTAAAAATGTTTATAAACTGTGAATAAGTATAGTACTTTCACGTATCATTTTTTAGGTGTTGCAAACTTCAACAGTAAGCACGGGTGCTTAAAATGTACAACGGTCGGCGAATACTCTCATATTTCGCACACTGTGTTTTTTCCTAGAGCTGACTGCGAGAGAAGAACAAATGAAAATTTTCGTGCTAGACAATACGGGTCACATCATAAACAGGACTCTCCTTTACTCCTTTTGCCCATAGATATGATTAAGGATTTTCCCGTAGGAGACTCACTACATTTACTGGATTTGGGTGTCATGAAGAAATGTTTGTTAGGCTGGAGGGATGGCAGCTTTGGTAGCTACAAAACAAAATGGTGCGCCAGGGATATAGATAAAGTTTCAAAGTTTTTGGAAAAATGTAAAATGCCCTCCGAGTTCCATAGGTCTGTGCGTGGTTTGGACGTTTTATGTCACTGGAAAGGTACAGAATACCGCACATTTTTACATTACCTAGGAATAATTATACTCAAAGATGTCCTGGCCCCTGAAGTATACCTACATTTTCTACTTTTTTTCTGTGCGGTGACTATATGTTCATCAAATTTATATAAACATTTTCTGGATTTAGCAGAAACCTTACTCGATAATTATGTAGAATACTACAGAGACTTCTACGGGGAAGATTATATTACCAGCAACGTACATAATTTGACACATTTGGTTGAAGAAGTGAAAAATTTTGGTACATTGTCATCTTTTAATGCTTATCCCTTTGAAAACAAACTTTTTCAAATAAAAAAATTATTAAGAAATGGTAACTTACCTCTGGCACAAGTTGCTAAAAGGATAAGTGAAATAATAAAAATGGAAAATGCTCTCTTAAAAGAAAATCATTCTGTGGGTTTCCAACACTTTCCCAAATTAAAAAATGATAATGGTACAGGACATTTTTTTAAATTAGAGCTTAAAGAATATTCTTTGTCATCGGATTACCAAAATAAGTGGTTTTTAACTCAGAATAATAATGTTGTTACTTTCCATTATGCATTGTTAAATGATGAAGGAAAGACACTTATATATGGTTCCCCTGTAAAAGATTTGGCGGATGTTTTTGATGTGCCTATCAAATCATCTTATTTGAACATTTTTAAATCAAACCTAGTAGAATATAAATCTCCAAATCAATATTTAATATCTGAAATTAAGAGTAAGGTGGTTGCTATAGAATATAATGGAACAACTGTATTCTTTCCTTTATTACATTGTTTACAAAAATAAAATGTTAATACAGGTTTAACAACATAAAAAAAACGCGCCTTATACCTAAGATTATTATATTATTTGGAGAGTAAGTAAGTAAAGTAGTAAAGTAATTAGGAACTTTTTATGCTTACATATTAAAAAATACCTATGTAATATAACACAAACTAAAATAAACAGTATTCTTAAAAAAAATAAAACAATTTTCTTTTCTTTGGCATTGTAGCAATACTACTACAACTCCTAAAACCCAACCTTCCTAAAAACATTAATTTAAAATGTATCCACAATAGAATGATTCATACTTAACCATCAGTCACTTCGTTCTTCCACTTCATGGTCATGGTCCTCTTTATGCGGAACATCCCCGGAAATATCCTTAGAAGTGTCATTTTGAGATGCGATTTTTTTGGACCGCCTTTTAACCGTTGATGCGCGCGAAAAGTCGCTTTTGCTACGTCTCGTTGAGTTTCTAATTACATTTTTAAAAAATTCCTCGCAATCTTTATGCGTAAAACTTTTGTCTGACAACTGTATGACATTATAAAAAAGTAAGATAACGTTTTTGTACATTTTAAATGCCACTTTTTCTCTTTCGCCTCTTGCGCCACCAGCCCACGAACATAAGGTCATAAATTTTCTTGTAAACATTCTATCTACTAAAGTGAAGCTATTATTTACCCCATGACCATCTCCTCTTTTGCCACAGACGTAGCTTAGTTTCTCAGTCTTCTCTTTCATTATTTCTTTATCTCGTAAACTTTCTTCGAGTGCATCTAAGTCTTCAATGGTTTCAATTTGCTTTATAGAATCATTTTGGACAATGGGAGTTGCTTTTTTACAGGTGCAATTAATATTCGACACCTTCCCTGCCACTACATCCCCCATGGCCTCTAATTTGGATAACTGTTGCAATATTTTTAATTGATTTTCACTCGTTCCTAAATTTTGCAAAGTTTCAATAATTAAATTTTGGTTACTTATAATTATACTTTGATTCCCAAGAATGGTTGATAATGCGCTGGTTGGTAATACGTCATTTATCGTAGCAGTTAAACATGATGATTGTTCGACTGAATAATTGTTATCGCTTATTTGGTCTGCATTTATATACGAGTAGACAACGTTTTGTTCAGAACTGTCAGTAACTAAAGTATTTTCTGATGAGATGCCGTATTCAATAGTTTTAGATGTAGTCGCGTCTGCATCCTATAAAGTACAAAATTAAAATGCTTTATGCCTTCCATATGGAAAAAAACGGGAAAACTTACCGTGCAAACAGCCTTTATTGCCATTTCGTTAAAGTCATACCCAGATGTGCTTTTTTTGGGGAGCATAACTCTAACTCGTTTTGGCCTTGGTACTACCTCTGGTTCCTCTGACTCAGTTGAATCTTCTTTTTTAAGCATAGCTCGTAACTCCTTTTCAGCAGTTTCATATGTTTCCAATTCTCTTCTTTTCAATTTACAGCTCATTTGGAACCAGGAATCTTCAGGGATAGACGTCCCTATTTTAATAAGTTTTTCTGCCTTCATTTTTGGCCAAAAAAGTATCCCTTCTTGTTCCCAAGCCTGGGGGACTACGGTTAGTTGCTTAGAACCTTTTTCTATTGTCTCGACTATTTTATACATTTTTTGTTTGTTAAAACAATGCTAAAACAATAACTTAAACAAATAATTAATCTGGAATTATGCCTAATAACAACATACCTTTTATGAAATCACCGTTAAAAAATATCCTAAACAACTATAAACAGAAAGGCAACAGGTACCAAAATTGTACCAAAATATTGTTAAATAAGTTTTGAGGTTATGTTTACAAATATGTTGTCACATCACCACCTCCACACAAGGCCATCAACCTTTTTCAATATGGCGGAGATAGAAGTGCTTTATTTGGCGCGTATTTTAAACCCTGTTTTATTTTATTTCCAAATAGACATTTTTCACACAATGTCGGGTTAGATTACGTAATATTTCTAAGTTCTAAGAAAAGAGTCTAAAGTTCTCCACATAAGTATGGAATTTTTTGTATTATTACTTTTATGAAAACATCAGTTAGTTACTTTTTATAAAATGGTCTGCTTTCTCAAAAAATAGGTAGTGTTAAAATATTCAAACTTGAAGTACCATGTATAGGGTGTTCAAAATCATCGGAAAAAGAAATAACCAGAAATATATGACAGAAAATAGCGATATACAGTACGTCTGTTCGTTCTGTAGCTACGGGGTATCCGTGAGAGGGGAAACGAAATTCTCTCGATGTTTTTCGTAAAAAATTAGACGGCGCGTCCCATCAATAAAAATTCGACAAATTTGCAAGTAGCCAATAAAATGAGTGGGCGGAGCGATTTGCGGTGACGTACTCGTCAAGTCGACGTATAAAATATATTGCTGTTTATTTAAATGTTTTTTGTCCGCATTCCTTTCATAGACACAGATCCAGCAGACGTACTGTAAACTAAATATTCAATTCCAAACACTTACCTACCATAGTTTAGAATTTACTGAACGTTTAATAAATATATACTATTATGGACAGTATAGGAAGTTACTTGTCTTAGTAAAAGCCTTGGTAAATGCTCTTGGAATTATAAACTACACTGGCTTGGATCAAATAATATGGAATAGTTTTTCTATGTTTTGCAGCATTACACTAATGGGAATAACTTTAAACTATAATAGGTGAGGATAACTAAAAAATATAATATGTGTTTCAAGATTTTATATAGAAAAAAAAACTAAATACCTTTTTGGGGGTTCGTAAGTAAAACTAACGCTTAGCTTAGTTTTCTTTACTCTTTCTCATTACATAGGGCATTGTGGTAAAGACGTAATTCCTTTTTTTTGCATAGTTTTTCAATAAAATATTGGATATTCTGAACAAGATGGATTTAATAATAAATTCTGACGTATGTGAGGGTCAGTTGTGACCTAAAAAAAGACTTACATCCAGGCCATTTATATTTTCAAATGTCAATGTTGTCAATATCTTTCTGTGATCTTTTCGATGTAAAAAGCTTGATTCTTTTTCCAATATTTTACTTATAGTGAAGTAAGTGTAAGCAGTAGCCATAAATACATCCTCACTAGAGTAACAGAGGCTTTTACCACTACCGGCCTTTCAGGCTAAAGGTAAACAATTTAATAATGCGCTGCCTTCGCCGCCATATTTGCCTTGCCCATATCATGTTGATTGGCCTTGAGTCCAGGTGGTGGTGTGTATATTTGCATGAAATGAAACGTTTAAATAGCCTAAAGTTCTATAAAGGTTCCTGTAACTTACAGTTACAGAATTAAATTGTTCTGTTATAGTTCTGTTATTGCATCAACATCATCGTGCTCACATGCTGTCAATAGTGTCAATCAACGTAAATCTAAACTTCTGCAGTGTTGCCACTTTGATATATAATATGTAATGTAATACATATACAATACATGAATTAATTAACCATGTGACATTCAAATCAATATAGCTATAAGAATGTAGGTATTTAGGGCACTTAATTGGTAATTTAATAGGTCATCCTTGTTGTTAAGGAAAAACTTACCGTAACCATGAAATATGACAACATGACGGATATTAATTATTAATATTTTATATTGTATAGTAGCTACTTATGAAGCATATTTGCTCTTTAACCATTGCTATTGACACAAAAATGTCATATTATCAAGAATCCATGTTGTTAGTACAAACGAGGCCTTTTTCTGGCGGCCATTTTGTGAAGAAAAGGGAAAAATTGTGTTTACTAGCATATTTCTAATAAAGGATCAACGATAAAGGTGGAAAGCTTTTTATTATTACTGAGAAAGATATTAGGATAAAAACTTTACTTTTTATTTTTGATTTTTAGTTTTTTTTTACCATATAAAATTTCCAGAACTATGAAAATAGTAAGATAAATTGAGAGCGCGTCAAAAATATGTTATTATTACCCACATATTTCACCATAAAACTTGTTTCGCATTAAAATTGTCTTTCTTGACTCCACAAACCAACTTATAAAAATGTGTAATGACTTTTCAGATTATATTTTATTGTTTTAGGGTGTCCATTTTAATTTCCGACCAGGTAGTAGTGCAGCGTTATAGTTTTGTTTATAGTTATACCAAACAGAAATACTAAAACGATTTAAACATTTTTAAATATAGTACCATGCAACAAAATAATTGCATAATGAAAGTTTATGCACACTTTAAGAATATTAAACTAAAAGTTCTTTTGTAGTCCTTTTGCTATACCAGTAGGTACTCTAAGACAGCAGTTTCGAACTGGTACAGAAATTTTATAGGATTGTTTTGTAACCATTGTTTTAAAAGTTCTGTAAGACATCTTAGAATGTTTATACAACAATTCTATAAATGTTTTCTGCAGAAGTAAGAAAACAATTAAAAGGCTAAAAAGTTCTATAAAACGGTGCCCATTTCTATCGTACAAGTGTTCTAACAACGTTTTAAAAATGTTCTTAGAACAAACACTATTCTATAAAAATTGCTCTGGAAACGTTCTTACGATTTTTATAGAACATCAAATTGTTACCTGGGTGGCTATCAGTTTCTTCTGTTATTATATTTGGTTGATGTGCAGCCACTGAAGCTGTAACTGATGAGGCAGGTGAAGATAATAGCGTCGAATCTGATACCTGTGTAGAAGATCCCACGCAGGAGTTTGTATATGCTGGGGATTGCTGTGGAGGATAGTATCCATAATTAAGTAAGGGCAGCCTTCTTATATCAGCATCAAAAATTATGTTATTAATAGTCTCTTTTACATACGCAAGTGTTCGTGAATCATATTTCCTCAGTTCATTACCGACATGTTGACCATATGTGAAATAGGGATCCTTGTTATCAACTGCGCTATTCTGTAAAAGAGTAAATGCTTTGTCCAGCATAGGATCTTTAATCACGGTGGAATTTTGTGCTGTACTGAATTATGCTTTTCTTTGAAACTGGAGTCTGCAGCTTTGGTACTGAAGGTGCCAGAGTGTTTTGAAGCCCACTGGAGCCTGCGCTAGGAATTTCCAATATTTAGCAGATCTTCAACTTGAGATTGCTACTGCGTAGGGACCTCTACTTCGTCCTATAACAAAAAAAATCGTTTACATTTATATTTTTTTCAAACTTGCGTCACTTATGAATAGATGAATTATTGTAAGTGCTTCAGTTTTAATTCTTTTATTGAACTTTACAATTGCAGGTGCCATCTACGTCAGCTAGAGTGGCTGACTGTTGCGAAAGATTTTGAAGAGGGATGGGATTTTCCACATGCTATCGGGGCAATGGATGGGAAGCACGTTATTTATTTATTTATTTATTCTACAACACTCTACAGCTTACGCCAATTACAGAGTGGGTTACACACAAAAAAAATTCAATACAAAATAATTAAATTAAACAAAAAATAACATCAATGAGAAAAAATACATATCAATGAAAAAAAAACAACAACAATATAAACCAAGAAAAACCACTAAACTGAACTAACAACCGAAACCAAACTGCAGCTGAAAATATCAAAATTACACTGATATAAATTATATGCATCCTGCATACGTTTCAATGGCGAATATTTACTTACATTTGTGCGCGAGGAGGCCACATAAAATGTAGAGCTATACCGAGAGCTACGTGGGACCAGAAAATTGATTTGACTGAGAACATCCGGACTATCAATTTCATTATGTAATAACTTGTATAAAAATTTCAGCTCTGAATTTGTCCGTCGAACCTCCAAGGAATCTAGAGAATGTTTCTGCAATAAAGAGCTGTGACAGCAGCCAATTTGCGGGTAAACCCCATCGGTTCTTAAACTCAGATATTTCAGAAAACGACGCTGTACCTGCTCGAGATCATTAATATGCCGCATAAAACGGCGACCATACAATTGATGCATACTCTACATTTATATTTTTTTCAAAGTTGCGTCACTTATGAATAGATGAATTATTGTAAGTGCTTCAGTTTTAATTCTTTTATTGAACTTTACAATTGCAGGTGCCATCTACCGAAGAAGAGTGGCTGACTATTGCGAAAGATTTTGAAGAGGGGTGGGATTTTCCACATGCTATCGGGGCAATGGATGGGAAGCCACGTTATGTTGCAAGCACCTTGGAATAGCAGCACTGATTACTACAATTACAAAAGCTATTTTAGCGTAGTGTTGTTTGCTTTAGTTGATGCAGATTACAACTTCATGTACGTAGATGTAGGCTGTCAAGGATGCATTTCCGATGGCGGAGTGTTCAAAAATACGACTTTGTAAAGAAGACTGGAAAGTAACTCATTAAACATCTCATCTCCATGTGCTTTGCAACCTCCAGGATCAAATAATGAGCCAAAGGCTCATTATCGGAATCACAATCGCTTTCTTGATCGGGAATTCCCACAGATCCTGAACATTTTTTTGCAGAGGAAAGAGACTGGTACCATTCGTGAAATTCGGGAGAAATTGCACCATTTTTGCACAGTTTTAAAAGAACTCCTTTTTTCTTTGTTTTATTGGTAACAAGTTTCATACAATTTTTTTAATTGTTTTGGAGGGGCTGGTGGTCTGCCTCTTCCCTTGATTTTTATAACTTTATATTCACTGCTATGTTCATACTTATATTCGATTATATCAGCATGTTTTCGGCCATGCTTTCCTTTGAGTAACGTAAACTCTTAATCAGCAACCAATTAACTGTGTTCCTCTCAATGTCCTTAGATCTGTTTTTTATGAGCAATGCCGACAAAGCTTTTAAATCATAAAATTCATTGAATTTTAGTTCTCTGACATGGTATGGTTCACTCTGTCTATTACGATTCCTTTTGGATCTTGCTATATGGAAGATATTCAGCCAATCTTGAATGGTATAATTCTGGTATAATAATTATGGTAATTATTATATCGTATAA